TGACCAGTGGCTTCCTCCCCAGTCCGGGCCTGGCCTCCTCCTTCCTGCACAACAGTTTTCTGTGGCACTGAGTTCTTGGACATTTAATGGTCAACTTTCAGGGGAGTATTTGGCTGTGAAGTTGTCCAAGTAGACAGTCTGACACCTGGCACATCAAAGCCCCTAGTGCATACAGAGCCCACAGAGGCTGTATGTCTGAGTGTGTGGTCATTACTGGGGAGTGCCAGACATGCTTCAGGGAAACATTCTCCCTGGTGGACCCAGCCTTTTCAATGCTTGCTCCTGTTGAAATGTCTCAGATGAGAGGTACAAGAGGATCACTGAGTTGGATTGCTGAGGGCAAGGAGTTTATTAGAAGAGTTAACACCTGGGACAGACAGACATACAACAGCATGGCAGGGCCCTGAAGACAGGGCCCACATGGCACAAATGGGTCTCTTCTTATACCTGAGAACGTGGGGAGTTTCACAGCACGAGCCTGCAACCAGGCTCTCTGATTCCTAGGCAGGAGACAGGGAAGGCCAGGGAGCAGGATGTATGGCCACCAGTACCCACTTTGATATAAACTTACTTCCCCAGGTGACAGATCCTGGCACTAGGAAGTCCGTTAGCTAGGGACTCATAGCGTCTCAGTAGGGTACCTGTGTAACAGAGGAATCTGTCACCTGAACAGAGACTGGACTCCTACACTAATGCCATGCAATAATTACAGTGATATAAGGCATTATATTACATTTTTCACCTGTTGAACCAGTTTACCTCACCGAGACCTCTGACTGCCTGACCAATTTCATTCTCATTTGCCAGAACTTTCCCTCTTGGTAAGGGAAATGCCTGTCATAGGCTAGATGATGGCACTGTTTTAGGAGGTGATGGGCCCTTTGGGACATGGAGCCTAGCTGGTAGATGTAGGCTACCGGAAATGGGTCTTGAGGGTTATAGGTCAATCCTGCTTCCTGATCCAAGATGTGAAGAGCTTCCAGCACATGCCCCCACTGCCATGAACTCCATGATCTCCCTGAAGTGATGGACTGAAAATGTGAGCCAAAGCAAATCCTTCTTTTCCCTAAGTTGCATGTGTTAGGTGTTTTGTCACAGTTCCTAATCTACTCTCCTTCCAGTTTCTGCCTGTCAGCACCATGGAGCATCACTTCAAAGCAGCATCTTCCAGATGCTTCATCTGGAGTCGCCTACATATACCCACTGGAGGCCTCTTGAAGATGAATCCACATTTGCTTCTGCTTTGTACCCCCAGGTTCTGGATGTCGATGTGGATGGAAGATGGAACAGAGGTTAGATAATTTTCACCTCACTTCTGCAGACATGGCTTTGATCTGAGCATCTCTTCTGAACCCACTGTCACATGTGTTCCAAACTTTTTAGCTCCATCCTCTCAAATCCCCTAGCACCTCATCAACCCCTTTATTCAGCAGAATAATACTTGCCTCTTTACAGAGAAAATAGAAAACATCAGAGGAGCCTGTACTTGGTCTTACCTCCCATCTCAGGTGTCCCTTGGGTGGGGTAACCCTACTGCCACGTGCCCATGGTCCTGCCCTCTCATGTTTTCCTCTATCCATTATTCTACCTGCTTCTGAGTTTCCAAGCCTTCCCTTCCCATACCATACTTCCTAAGAGAGCAATCAGCGGCCACCACTTCCCTGTGTCATCCTGCTGGAGCCTGTTCTGGCTTCCCTGCCGCTCTCTCTAGAGACTGCTGTTGCTGCCATCACATTTCAAATCCATGGCCTAACTTTCTGGACCTTTCTAGATTGTTCTAACAATCCTGAGCACAACCCACGTCTCAAAATCTCTCCTATCTTGGATGCCCTACATTGCTTAGTTTTGACTCTTTCAACCTCCTTTCAGGTCCTTGGATCTTGAAATCCTGCTTTCAGTGGGTTTGTTCTTGGCCTCCAGCTTTTCTGTCTGCACACTAGGAAAACAGAGCTTCATGACCAAAGAGGAGCATCTCTCCCCAGCTAAGAGATGCTGCCAAGGCAGATGACGGCCCATGGTAGCCAGATGTGCCATTTTTCTGAGTGACTGGATATGCCAAGATCGTCTAAGAAACACCGTGACTTGGATTACGTTTATTTTGTATGCATGCCAGAGGGCAACTATGGCAAGTTGGTTCTCTCCTTCCACTATGTGGGTCCCAGGGATCAAGCTCAGGTCATCAGCTTTGCTGGCAAGTATCCTAATCTGTTGAGCCATCAACAGATGTCAGACCATGCTTTGACTCTGAATACTGAGAATGGGTTGAAAGTTTTTACAAAACTGTGCAGGGCAAATAAAACACACACACTCCCCATTAGGCCTGTTTCCCCTTCTTATTCTGCTGTGCGTGAGGCAGTTTATAAAAGTTGTCAGTGACGATAGTTCAGTCATCAAGGGGTTACCATACCCTAGATACTGTCTACATGGTTCATGGTTAATAGTCACAGTGACCCGCTCCACAGTCAGCTGCTACTATCCCTGCTCTACAGATGGACAGACTGAGGCCAGAGCTTGAGTGCTTTGTCTTGGGCCTCACAGATTTTTGAGTTCAAGAACCAGGATTCCAACTTGACTGTCCACCTTCAGAGTTCAAGTTTTTTTTTTTTTCTTTTCCTTTTTTACTGTTTGTTTTTCAGTCTTTTTGAGACAGGGTCTCCCTGTAGCCCCAGCTGGCCTGGAACTCACTATGTAGACCAGGCTGGCCTTGAACTCACAGAGATCTGCCTGCCTCTGCCTCTCGAGTGCTGAGATTAAAGGTGAGCACCACTGCACTCGCCCCCCATCTTTTTACTGTTTTTATTGACAGAATTTATTGTGAACATGCTCCTTAATATTTTGAAATCATATAAGATTACATTTTAGATTATATAAAAAGAAATGTTCTGTTTGGAGTATTGTTTAAGTAATATGAATTGTTTGACTTGTCATATATATATAAAAAAAGTAAGTTAATGGGAACATTGATTCTTACGGGTGAAGATGTGACACCTGTACAGATCTGTCCTGACAATCCCAAAGGAGTCTATGCTGATGGTGTTATTACCCTTGTACATCAGACATGTCAGACATTGTACAGAGTTGTGATCTAATTTACATTTCAGTTTTTAAGTAATTTTACATAATCAGTAAATTTTAAGTAAATTTACGTAATTAGTTTTTAAGTAAATTCTTGAATAGATGAGACATTGAGTACTTTTGTCAGAGTTCATGCTTTTAACTATAGCTTTCTCCATTTACATAAAGAAAATGAAGTCAGAGGTTAAGGAGCTGTCCAAGACCATGAAAGCGGGGTTGTGCTTTCACAGAGATCAGATCCTGTACTTAGGACCACTGTATAAATTACACATTTCCTGTGCTAGGAAATTCCAGCTCTGAGGTTAGTCTGGAATACTTGTAAAGGAAATGCCTCTGGCATTTAAAACCACACATCCACTCCCATTAGTAATGGCATTTGCTTCACAAGTTCTAGGAGAGACAGTGACTAACATTTAACTGGCACCTCCACATCTTAAGTGTGTGTGTGTGTGTGTGTGTGTATGTGTGTGTGTGTGTAGTATAAATGAAATGTAATGTCTTTTCTTTCAAAGGGATTTTTATCTTTACAGTATAAATTAAGAGGCTTTACCCGCAATCTGCATTTTCTTTATCTCATTTGTTCTTTCAAGCAGGGGCCTGTCAGAGGCTGGGAACCCTAAACCAGGGACTCCCAAACTAAGGTTAAAGATTAAGTGTATTAAGTGTATTCAAATTCACCCCCAGGTCTTTAAAACTACATTTTGCTTTTGCACCCAGTTCCCCCCGCCCCCCATATGTGAATATATAATGTAAAAGATGAAATCCTTCCTGTCAAAAACATTTTAAAATTTGTGCTTTTCTTTTCAGTACCCTTGTTATAGAACTAGTATCTACCTTAACGTTTTTTTAGCATCAGTTGTAACTTGTAGCATTATAGTTTCTCCTCCACAATCCACTCCACTTACTTTTATGACTGGCTACATGCCAGTGCCCTCACACTGTGCTTTTATGACTCTGGCTGTGTGCTGGAACCCACCTCCCTAAAATTTAAAGATTCTTACTACAGTGACCCTTGCCCTCTTTGAATCAGTCAACTGGGTTTAGATTGTGTGGTTGAACCTCAAACTGAAGAAGGACTTCCAAGCCTTATTTCGGGTTAGGTATAAAAGGAAAAGGTCATTTCATCAACCTATGCTTGCTCCTTTACTCATGCTTCTGATCAGAAATAAATTTTGCCTTACCGGGGAAACTTTGGAGTGGATTTATTTCTAACATGCAGTGCGTGGAGGCCAGAAGTCAGCCTCAGACGTTCCTCAGGTACCCTTTATTTTGTTTTTGGAGACAAGGTCTCTCACTGGGACCTTGCTGCCTGCTTACCAAGCACTTTAAAGACTGAGCTAGGGCCACCAACCCCAGAATGGACTATTATCCCCATTTAACAGACGAAGCAACTGACGCTCAGTTTATTTCCATGATTGGCCCAATGCTCAAGTAGTAGCGGCAGAGCCAGGATTCTAGTTCAGGTTGTGCCACAACAAAGCGCACATTTTTTGTGTTCCCAGGCAGTCTCGCTTGGTACCCCAGGCTGGCCTGAACTCACTACCCTCCTTTTTCAGCCTCCAGAGTTGAGGGATTACAGGTATGCGCCACAACCTGCAGCAAAGCCCGAATTTGTTTGGTGTTAACCGTTTTTTTGCGATGGTTCTCCAGTCCCAAACCCGCATTTTTGGCCGCTCGCCACTCCACAGGCCGTCCCACCCGGCCCGTCCCGTGTTCCGGAGCCGGGGGCAGAGGCGGCGGAAACCCTTCGGAGAAGCGCAGGTCCGACTGGCCCACAGCTGCCAGGGCGCCTTGGCAACGGCGCGGGCGGGGAGACGGAAGTCCTCCATAGGTGGGCGGGGACTGCGTGTGGAACTCACCAATGGGAGCGCGGTATTGGCGTTCTCCCCGCCCTGAAGGCGGTCCCTGAATGCGACTTCCGGCGTGTTCTCGGCGGGCAGGCTGCTGGGCTTGGCGGTGCGTAAGGGGGCCGCGGGGCAGTGCGGGGGCCGAGGCGGGCTCCGGGAGGTCCGTTTGGGGACCGTGGGATGGCGGGCGGGCGGGGCCTGCAAGCCCGGGCGCTGACAGGGACTGAGGCCTGCAGAGGCGCGGAGACGGGCCGAGCGTCTAACACGTTGGTTCTTAAGTTTATAGAAAGTGTTCTGTTTTTGAGAACAGGTTCATTATGTAGCCGAGGATGGCCTTGAATTCGGGACCCTCCTGCCTCCCTGGTGCTGGACTCAAGCCCACACGCCGGTTGCATGTCCCTCAGTCGGTGGAGAACATGCTCCCAGTCTCCGTTAGGTGAAAACCACCAAGTGCAGGGTCTGTCCACACTGCTCAGTGGGAAGCGCGGCCCGGCCCTCCCATCCTCCTGCCTCGCCTGGAGTGCTCCCTGAATGGTTTATGTGGAACGTCTGTACAAGCCCGCGACCCCACAGTCTGATCGGCTTTGAGGCTCAGTGTGTGCAGCCCCGTGGTTTGTGGAGGCGTTGGGTGTGCTTGTTCTGGGGTGGTCTGCCCATGGCAGGGCCCGGAGCAGTGGCAAGACTGTCCTCAGGCCGTCAGGTAACGCCTCAAGCCCCCAGGCCCTTTTCCGACGTAAGAAAGTTCTGTTCTCAGGCTTTGAGGCTGGAGACTTGTAGATGGGACCTGGATTATAGTTTCATTTGTTTACCCATCTTTTTTTTTGGTCTTTTTGAGACAGGGTCTCCCTGTAGCCCCAGCTGTCCTGGAACTCACTATGTAGACCAGGCTGGCTTTGAACTCACAGAGATCCGCTTAGCTCTGCCTCCCGAATGCTGGGATTAAAGGCATGCGCCACTACGCCTGGCTACCCATCTTCTTTTTTTTTTTTTTAACCTGGGTTGGAAATACTTTGAGAACAGATGGCTTTTGTAGTGCCACCACGTCTTCACTACTAACGGCCACCTGTGTCCCTTCGAAGCCTCAGCTCCCTCATCTATAAAATGGGATCCCGGGCACTCCCTTAGCGTCTGGTGAGCATTAAGCAAGACTGTGCAGGTGAAGCACTAACACTGTGTCTACACAGGGCACAGATGCTATCACCAAACTTCACTTTCTACACACACTTTCCGTTTTTTTTTAATTATTTAGGTAGGCAATACATGTCTGTACTTATCTTCCACAGTCCCTCATGGTAGACTGACATTGGTCTAAGCAAGCATCTCTCCTAGTTTCACACCTCTTGCCCCAAATTGTGTGATTCGATCCTGTTCTGTTCCAGTTCTCTCGTTAATGTCTGGTGACTGTCTTGGCATATTTACGAGTGTTGATTATGATATGTAATGTACTTATAAAAGTATTCGAAAATGTAAGTTTGAAGAACAAAAATGGAGTGAACACCTACATACCTCCCCACCACATGATAAGAAATAGGGTGTTGTCATATCCCTAAAGTCGCCACTGAATTCTTACGCCGCCTGGAGGATGACCACTGTCCTGAGTACTGTGTTGCAGTAGGAAGAGCAGATTCGCAGTTGCACTCTCTACCTCTGCCCCTGTAATGGACTCTGTGCAGTTCTGTTGGTGTTTGGGATTTTATGTAAATGTACAGCCTGCTCTTTGTGTGGGATTTGTTTCTGAGAAGCATCCATGCTGGGGTGGGCAGGTCTGTTTTGTTCATCTTGTTCTGAATTCCCCTCATTTGGTATTCTTGGTGAGCTGCGCTCTTGACTTTAGTGAAGTCACTTAGTAGTGTATTAACTTATGGCTTGTACTTTGTGGTTCTGTATCTTTTAAGGATATCCTTTTCTACTCTTGGCTCACACATTTTTCTATGTTGTCATTTAAAGTTTTCAAGTTTTTCTTAAGGCCATGACCCTTTAGGATTGAATTTTGTAGATGGTGTGAGATAGGGGTCAAACTTAAATTTTTCTCACCCATAATCAGTTGCCCTGGCACCTTTTGTAAGAAGGTTTGCTCTGGTCTGAAGCTTCATTTCTTTGGCATGCGTCTCCATGCATAGGCATGGCTTTCTCTTTTCTAGACCTTTCTTTGATCCTGTGGTCAATCTCTACCACATCACAAATTGTTCACTACCGTTTTGGTACCTGCTAGGACAAGCCTTCCCACTCTTTCCAGAACACCTGCTATTTTGCCTTTAGGTTTTCTGTGTGAGTTTAGACTTGTCAGTCACATTTGGAGACATTCACAAAACCTGCTTGAATTTTGATGGGTGTTGCATTTGTTCAGTAGTGCTGAGTCCATTTGGATTTTGAAGTGATTGCTTTCATCTTTGCATCCTTGCGTTTGCTGCACACTGAGATGCCATTTAGTAGATAAAAAGTTTCCTTTAGCCCTAGAGTACAGCTTAGTGGCAGAGTGCCTGTCTAGCACAGGTGAAGCCCCAGGTTCAGTTCCCAGCACCGTGTGTGCGTACACACACACACAGTTTCCCTCTATTCCAACTTTGATATTAATGTGAGTACATGTGAGTTTCATCAGCTGTTCTCTGTGAATACTGAGATGATACTTGTGTTCTCCTTCATTCTGTCACTGTGGTGCCTTGCATTGAGTTGTCAGGTGTCAACCAACTGGCCCCACTTCTTTCATTCTTTTTTTTTGCGGGGGGGTCTTTTTGAGACAGGGTCTCCCTGTAGCCCCAGCTGGCCTGGAACTCACTATGTAGACCAAGCTGGCCTTGAACTCACAGAGATCCGCCTGCCTCTGCCTCCCAAGTGCTGGGACTACAGGCGTGCGCCACCATGCCCGGCCCTTCATTCTTTTAACATTGCTGGATTTGGCTTTGTGCTTTGCTGAGAACCATGACATCTCTGTTCTTGAGAGACTTTAATTTTCCCTTATTTTGAAGACCTTGTTCTCATATCGAAGTTACCACAGCCTTACCATTTAAAAGCTTGGGAAGGGCTGGCTCTTTCTGCTCTGGGATGGTGCATGTAACCTTTGAAATCATTTGTTTCCAGATTGTGTGATAGGACTTTTATCTGTTTTGATGAGACTGGACACGTACAGGGGGTGTGGCTGTGGCCCTTCATCAGTTTTGAATGAATTTCTTATAAACTTATACATATTTAAAACTTAAAAGTAATTTTATAAGTCTTCAGTTTGTCGTTTTCATTTCAAATATTGCTGATTTGTAAATGTTCCCTCAGATAATCTTGTCAGAGATGACTCACTTTCAAGGAATTGACATATACGTAGTTTGTTTTTGTAGTGAGATCGGGATTGGGTCCAGGGCCTCTTGCCTGCTGGGCAAGTACTCTACCAATGAGCTACATACACTCCATGCTTTGTTTTTGGTTTTGTTGATTTTAGCTACAGATTTATTTCAAATTTTACTTTCTTTTATTTTTTTCCTTTGAAGTCTTTGAGTTATTTGTTCTTTTTACAGCTTCATTAGATGGGTGTCTACCTTACTAATTTTCAGGCCCCTTTTTAAAAAGTATAAATATTTTAAAGCTGTTATTTTCCTTTTCTACTTCATTTATTTCCCAGTAGTTTTTATGTGTGGCATTTTGTGATTGTTGAGTTCTAAATAGTCTGATTTCCATTACTGTTTCCTTGAGATGGATTATTTATAGCTTTCCTTTCCTGTCTCCTCTTCTTTCTATCCCTCCTGCCCCTGTCTGTCAAGAGGTGGGATTATGGGCCTGCCTCACCAGGCCTGGCTAGTGTGACTTCTTTATAGCTACATTCCTTAAGTTCTGAACAAATGGGGTTTGCCTGGCTGTCTCTGGTATTGGGCTCTAAGTTGAGTGCATTATGGTGAGCACACTCTGTAGCCTTGCTTCCTGCCTGCCTTGACTCAGATTGCTCTGCATGCTAGAAGACTTGTGCAGCCGCTGGGCACAGCTACAGCTGTTCATGCCTGGCCATCCCATTAAGGATTTTGTTCTGTCTGGGCAGGTCGCCTCTCCCCTTACTGTTTTGTTCATCTTGCTGTGAACCTGAGGACTCTGCTGAGCTCTCCTGTGGTGTGGGCTGTGCATGTTTATTGCCTTAATCCTGATGTATTTACCTTAATGTTTTTGAGGCCTTATTCTTAACGATCTAAACATTTAAAATTGTTACATATTCTTGGGAGTTGAACCTTTTAAAAAAATTATTTATTTTTGTGTATGATTGTTTTACTTGCATGTACTAAGTGCATCCATGTTGTACAATGCCCATAGAGACCAGAACAGGGTGTTGGATACCCTGGAGCTAGAATTATCTATGGTTGTTAGCCACCATATGGGCGCTAGGAGCCGAACCTGGGTCCTCTACAAGAGCAGCCAGTGCGCTTAACCACTGAGCCAGCTTTCCAGCCCCTGGAGTTGAACCTTTTTATTGCTTTGTGATGACACTTAATTTCTACTAATCCTGCTTTGTTTTTTGCCTTAAAGTCTTATCTACCTCACTTATAAAACACACCAGCTCTCTGGTAGTTAAGGACAGATCTTTTAGATCTACCTTGAAGTAGTGGGGGAATATAGTTTTGAAATCTGGTCTTAACTGCAGTTTTTGTCCTTAAATCGATCCCCTTTTCTTCCCCTTTCCTTCCCTACCCCAGGGATTAAAACCAGGTCCTGGTACATGCCAGAAACTTTCTACCATTGAACTATATCCCTACTTCTAATTTTCCTTCATTATTATTAATTTAACTGTATAACTGGAATTCATGTTGCCTGTCACCACAGATGCAATTAGCACAGCTAGGAATTGAATCTTTTTTTAAAAGAAAATTTTTTTTATTATTTTTATTTTATGTGTATGCCTGTATTGCCTGCATGTAGGTCAGTGTATCTGTGTTGTGCATTGCCTGTGGAGGACAGAGAGGCTGTTGGATCCCATGGAACTGGAGTTATGGACAGTTGTTAGCTACCTTGTGGGTTCTGGGCCTCGAACCTGGGTCTTCTGCAGGAACAACCAGTGTTCTTAACCACCGAGCCATCTCTCCAGCCCCAGGAATTGAATCTTTATTCACAGAGATGACAATCTGGGAAGACAGGTTAAAAATTAAAAGCAACAACCTGAGCCCTTTGTGGTGGCTCATGCCTTTGACTCAGCCCTAGGGAGTCAAAGGCAGGTGCATCTGAGTTCCAGGCCAGCCTGGTCTACACAGTGAGTTCCAGGCCAGCCATGGCTACACAGCGAGACCCTGATTCATAAAACAGAAGCAAAACTCAATCTGCCTTCCTCCTTTCACCTCCAGAAAGCACATTAGAAGGGAGTGGGAGCAGAGGTGTCCGTCACTCCTCACTGGCCTTGTCCAGTGTCAGCCTGGCCTCCGGCTCACAGGCTGCTTATCTTCTGCAGCTTTTCATCTTTCTCAGCTTGCCTTGTGTTTGCAGGGAAAGGAGGGCCAGAGTTCGATGTTCAGGAATGTGGCTATGGGGCTTGCGCTGGTCAAACCGGGTGATTTACCAGAGGCTCCAAAGAGGAGAGTGGATGGAGAGGAGGGGCTAATTTAGGGTTTGTCAAGGTGGAGATGCTGGTGAGATGTTCTTGGTGGTGGCTGGCTGGCAGGCAGAAAAACTGGCTACTGGCCTGTGTATCCTCCCAGCTTGGAGGGGAAGCTGATGAGACCACGTTCTTGACAAGCCTTTGGTAGGCCTATCTCACTTATGTTTCATTTTTCTGCCCTAAAGATAATTGTATAACTGGAATTCATGTTGCCTGTCACCACAGATGCAGTTAGCACAGCTAGGAATTGAAGAGGCCAGTCGTATCACTGTTTTATAGTTGAACTGACTGAGCCTTAGAGACTGAGCATAATAGCTAAAAAAAATATTCCTATGCTTGCGTGGCCTAATGTTGCACAACAAAGTACTTGTCAGACCATGGTGTCACCTGAGCTGAATGCTTACCACCTCAGAATTCTGAGCCCTTCCTCAAGCAACCTCTAGGAAGAAGGCTAAGGAATCTGTACTGCTAATATGTACTTTAAATAATTGTGAAGATGAGACAGGCCTGGCAGGTATTGCTGTAAGTGCCACAGCCTGACTTCAGATCTGTGCTCTTGGTCCTTGCACAGCCCTGCCTATCTGTGGCAGAAGTGGGCGTTTTGACCTGGCTTGTGTCATCTGTCATATCAGCTCTCATCTTTGTGGTTTATGGAAAGATAACCTTTTCATTACATTCATTTATGTATGTGTGTGAGTGTGGGTGTAGAGGTCAGAGGATAACTTGAGGGAGTTGGTCTCTTCTTCCACCATGGGCCCTGGGATAAACTCAGGATGTGAGCTTGGTAGCAAGCACCTTTACCTGCCAAGCCATCTCATCGGCCCTGAATGATACGTTTTTGTCAGAGAGCAGAGGATTGTACAAATGGCCCAGACTCTTATAACCATTGATTTATTGGTGGTTGGAGAAAGGAGAAAGAAACTGGCATTTATTAAGTGCTTACCAGCAGTTCTCAACACTATTATGATTTTATAGGGAGAACATGGGGCCTTGGCTTTGTTTCTCCAAGGCCACAGAACTGATAAGTGACCACACCAAAGTTCAGAATTGTCCAGCAGGGACTGCTTACTGTGGAACCAGGTTGTTGCTGTATTAGCTCATTTAATCAGCTGATTAAAATTTTCTCATTGTTGCCACTTTCAGGCCTGAAACTGGAGCATATGGAGACCTAAATTGCCCATTCTGTCCAGGTAGTAGATGGTTAGACCCAGGCTGTGAACCCAGTGTTCTGGCTCTGGAATCTCACCACTGCTCAATATTGGTGTGACATACTTAAGCCCCTGACTCCTTTTCTTTTTACTTCTGTAGTAATCAGCACAAGAAACTTAACTTTTGAAACTCTAAGAAATGTCTGCTTGCTTGCATGAAGTGATTCACACCTGGCCATTGCTCTTGCCTGATTGGAAGTGACCACTGTCACTCACTTCTGTTTCAGCTCCCTCCAACATGCAAGGTAGCTCCTCGGGAAGAGCGGGCGTCATGACAGATGTCCACCGGCGGTTCCTCCAGCTGCTGATGACACATGGTGTGCTGGAGGAGTGGGAGGTCAGGCGCTTGCAGAACCACTGCTACAAGGTCCACGACTGTAAGTGTCCTGTCTGTCCCTGCAGCCTCTGGTGCCATGCTGATCAGGGACTGATGGCACTGGATATCCTGACCCAACATTCAGGTCTCTTTACAAGCTCAGGCCAGCCTGTCTTTCTAATCTCATCTTCCACCACCACCCTGAAGTAAGTCTAACATTTAGTCTTAAAAGTCAGAAGCTGTGAAGTCGTGGCTCACAGTGAGACTTCAGCCTCGGTTTCCATGACTTCAAGGTGGGGACAATGGTTGTAACATACAGGGTATAGGAGTTAAGAGGAGTATAGAACGCCTGGCACAGGAAGAGGAAGATGGCAATTTAGCACATGGGCAGGGCATGGCCTTAGACAGCCAGTCCTGGAGTGACTGCCAGCCCTGCCCCATTTGGAGCCTCTTCTCAGCTGGTCACTGGAGGTATAAATAAGACAGTACTTGGAGACAGGCTCGGTGCACACCGAGTCCTCAGTCATGTGGGGCAATAGAGCAGTCAGGTCAATACATGATTACTAGAGTCAGTTAGCAGGCCATGTTGAGTGTCCATGTGGGCAGAGTTTGTTTACTGAAAAGGAAAGTTGATGTCACTGTGTGATGTCATTGTGCTAAGGCTGTGAATCTGTCTGCAAGTGGACTGGAATCCTTGTTTGTGCTTGGAACGTGCTGGCTTTCTTATGGTAGGGCATAGGAGAGTGGTCAGCAGGACTCAAAGAGTACCTCATCTTTATCTTGTGTTCCTTTATGATAAAGAAATCTCAAAGCAAGTATTAACATACTCTTGGTGGTTATCACTTCTGATTCCTGGTAATCAATGTGCTTGGTTTTGTTCTGCATTTTTGTTTCCCTCTCTGTATTTTTAATTTTAATTTTCAAGAGGAAAATGGGGGAGAAAAGACAGAAGTGAGCCAAGGCAGGAGTGAGGGGTGGGGTATGGGAATTCAGGGAACACAAAGTGTGTGGACACATGGATGGGCAAAAAAGTGTGACTTGGCTCTCTGCCTGTCTGCCATGTGGTAGGGATGAGGTGGAGAGACAAAGGAAGTGGGATGGAGGGGGAGGTTGGGCATAGAAACAAGTTTTCCTTTGAGGTGTGCGGAAAAAGAAAGAAAAGGCAACAGAACCTATTCTCCAGAGCTGTGAGCCACTGAGGCACTCTGGAAAGTCCCTGGAGTAGGGTGGTGCACAGGAACAAGCCATAGACTTGGAGAGTCTCATCAGGGAGACCTGCTGAACATTCCCCTGCTGTGGACTCAGGCTTACCCACCTGCCTAGACAGGAAAACGGGCTATTGGTGTGGAGGTTAATAGATCATGAAGGGCCCTGGGCACTTTACTTGACCCTGTGAAGTGCAGACCTCTGGGAGAATGTGAAGCCAGAAAGTAATATGACTAGTGCGTGTCTGAGCACTGTCCTCTAGGAAGTCTGCTGCTGGTGCCTGAGCAGCAGTGGCGCTTTGTTGAGAGCTGTTTTGGCTGAGAGGAGCATTACACCTATCTTCGCTGCTTCTCTTGCTCTCTGAAGCCACCCGGGTCTTCACACCTCTGCCAAAGATCATCTCTTTCCTGTTCTCTTTGTGTGTGTGTGTGTGTGTGTGTGTTTTAGAATGAGAGAGGGGATATGCAGGTGCACGTGCAGTGGCACATGTGTGGAGGTCAGAGGCCAGTCTTAGTGTTCATCCTACCCTTGCACCTTGTTTGAGACAGGGTTTCTCGTTCAAGCGTTCAGGGATTCTCCTGTCTCTGCTCCCATCTCCTCATAGGAATATTGAGATTATGAAATCTGTATCACACCTGTCTTTACTTGGCTTCTGGGGCTTTGAACTTAAGTCCTCACACTTGCACAACAAGTGCTTTACCCATTGAACCATCTCCCAGCACAGATCATCTCTTATTTCAAGACAGCTTCTTGCTTCTTCCTTTTGGTTTTTTCTTTACAGGGAAGTGTTGTGCTCTGTTGGAGCCATATGAGCCTTATGAAAGTGTTCTTGCCTTTATTGGCCCTTTCAGTTACATGACCTAATCCAGGAAAATCCTGTAGAATGTGTCTTGGAATTGATCTGCTGGGGAATGTTCCCAGATGCCCAGTGCATGTCTGAAATAATGGCCTGTACCCAACCCTGAGTCTATTGTGCATGATGTCCAGACATGCCCATAGTCAAGTTTAATGTATAAATCAGACCCAGCAATGTCTAAATAGAACTGTTAAACAGCATGCTGGGGTAAAAGTGAAGTGTATGTGTACTGTTGTCATGATTCATGCTGTCCTGAATGACCTGCTTAACCGACCTTGGGTAACTAAGCAGCGGAAAGTGGTACCTTGGATAAGAGGAGGCTGTTGGGATGTTCACACTTTATAAGTAGGTAGGGTTATGACTGAAGTAAATAGGATATAACCACAGTCTGTTTTTTTCCCTATCCATCCTTAAAAAAAAAAAAAAGATTGGTTTCCAAGAATTCTTGTTATTAGAGAGATTTTAAAACAAGTAATGATAGAAATAATCTACAGTTAAGTAAATAGTTAAAGACCCTGTATTATCTCTCTCTTATATTTTGAAGCAATGCCCAGGAAAGTACCAAATTAGGAAAATATTTTAAGACAAAGGAGTGATGGGGACTGTGGGTGCTCTCATCCCACCCCAGCCTTGCCTAGCCATCAAGGCACTGCTTATCCTGGGCTTCAGTTCTGGCTGTCCCCTTACCGCTCTCAGGGAAAGCATGTTCCCCAGCTCTCCTGGCTAGTGAAGAGTTCCTGATGCAAAGCCTTGGGCCTGGCACCTCAGAAAAGTTCCAGGGACCTATGTTCTTAGAGAACCTTAGATTCTACCCAGGGCTCATGTCCATGCATGTGTCCATTCCCCCAGCCAAGCTTCCCAAGAATCTCATGTGAGCTGGGCTCTGTGCTAGGGACTGGAGACCCTGGCTCTCCTCACAGGAGTCCTCACAGGAGTCTGGTGATTTCGTTAGAAGCCCTTTGATGAAACAGGCACAGGAAGTCTAGGGATCAGTGCTTAGGAATCAGGTGGGAGGATTGTCACTTTGGGCCCACCAATACGCTTTCCTGCACCAAATAGTCCAGAAGTGAACAAAATGTCAGTAAAGGGCAGTGATCTCCTGAGAGACTGGCAATGAGGTTCCCTGCCCCACATATTTCCAGTGCCAATGCTTCCATTCTCCAGAGAGTAATTGGTTGTACATTTTGAGTTTTGACACTGTCTCCATGGCATTAGCATCAGATCCCACAAGTTACAGGGCTCAGTACCATACTCTGTCCTAATTTCAGGTGCTAGTTGCAAGTCCCAGACCACCTACACTTCTTACTGTAAATCAAGGGCTTCTGTGACATTCCCTCCCCTCATGTTTGGTAATTTGCTAAAATAAAAGTACTTTAAGTACATTTTCTGGTTGTCCAGCCTTTTGACATTGTGATATGTCATCTCCAAATGTGTTGGGCTGTATCTGTAGCTGTCCTGAGATACATGCTGCATGAAGGCTGTAGGTTGAACATGTAGAGGAAATACATAGGGTGTTTGGGAGGTGGCGTGGTGTGGAGCTTCTACACCATCTAAGTGCATTACTTTCCCAGAACCTCTATGTATTCAGGAGCCTGAAGTTCCCTAGTCCTGTCCTTGAGTGGTGTTATGAGAGTTCCATTATGTGGGCCTGAGTGATTAGACCATGGCCAACTGTGATTAACTTAGTCTTGGTCCTTCCTCCCCCTTTAGTTTGGGGGATTCTGATCCCAGCATCATCTTTCTGGTGACTAGCCCCTGCCGGAAAGCTACCTTCAAGTAGCCTGAGTGCCTTCAGCTACTCCTGCCTGGAGTTTCCTCTTTAGAACAGAAGTTCCCCTTCACCCTTAACACCCTGGAAATGGCAGGGATGGGACAGAAACTGGATATCTTGTATGGTGGGCAGCAATGGAGTAAACATGGAGCTGCCTTAGCAAACAGCCGTGCCAGGGTCCTTAGGTTGTGATACAGGGACCAGGCAGTCTGTCTGAAAAGACTGCCTTATCCTATATCATGAATTGCTAATTCACAGTGTTCTTATTTAAAAAAAAATATTTTAGTTGAATTTTGGGGTTTCATACAAAGTATTTTGATCATATTCAAATCCCCTCCTGTATCTGTACCCCCTTACTACCTCCTGCCTGATTTCATGTACTCTATTATATATATTTTAAGGCCTATTGAGTCTAATTTGTGTCCCCAAATGCCCATCAATGTGAGTCTAACCACTGGAGTATGGTTAACTTACCCAGTGTCACACCCTTAAAGAAAACTGACTCTCCCTTTCCTAGCAGCTTTTAGTTGCCAATAGTTCCTCAGCTCAGGTTAGGGCTTTTTCCCTACTTCTGTGCTGGAATTTTGTCTGACTTGAACTTACGTAGGTTTGTGCAAACTGTCACAATTTCTGTGGGTTCATATGAGTAACTACCCAGTTGTCTGGAAAACACTTCTTATGGTCATCAACCACTTCTGACTCTTAGAATCTTTTTACTCCCTCTTCCCCAATGATTGGAAGGCAGGGGTTTGACATAAGTGTCCTATTCAGGGATAAGTGCTCTGAAGTCTCTTATTCTCTTCTGTTGACCAGTTGTGGGTCTCTGTGTTAATCACTATCTGTTATATGAGGGAACTTCTCTGGTGAGAGTTGAGAGATGCAGTAATTTAAGGGTATTATAATGAATCATTAGGAGTTAGTTTAATACTATTTCCATTTAGCAGAATAATGGTAGTAGGCTCTCCCCTTTGGCTAGTGACCTGTCTGGCCACAGGTTCCTAGACCTGATATCAGTGCCACGTATGGGCTCTATCTTGTGAAGTGGACCTTAAATCTAATCAGAAAGTGGTTGGTTATACATATAACATTTGTGCCACTATTGCATCAGTGGCCTATCTTGCCAGGCCTGTTGTCATAACTCACAGGATTCACAGCTGGGCAAGATTGATGATTACTTTTCAAGTAGCATGGGTAGCACCTTCCAGCACTATGAAGTAGGCAGTAGAGA